GAGTTCTGGTGGCCAACCGAAGGTACACATTTTCAGCTGACCTCTTTGGCAAGAAACTCGATTATTTTGTTTGTTTACAAACTGTTGGAAAACTAATGTTTTCTCATCGGAGAAACACAAATTCGCCAGTTCACCACTTTCGGCCAATCGAAGCAACTCTTTAGCTCTTTTGAGTCTATTTTCTTTCTGTTGCGGTTAAGTTCTTGGACTTTTTGGAATTTCAATGGCTTTACCCTGAACTCATTTTTCAATATTTGTCGAATGGAATATATATTAAGCCCACGAGCCTGCGACACGGGTTTCGGTCAAGTCGCCTCTTTATTTTTCGAACCATTTCTGCTGATGTTGCTGTTTTCTTCCGTCCACTCCCATGACGTCGGGCTACGCTATCAGTATCACGGTAACGAGCGATGGTACGAGACACAAAAGATTTATTCAAATTTATATGCTGAAATGCTCTAACGATAGCCACTTGTGGTTTTCCAGTCAAATCTAAAGAAATCATCACGAATAACTTTTTTTCTGGAAAGTTCTCACCAAAATGCTTTTAAAAACAATATAATGAGCTGTCACTGGAAAAATTTTAACATCTGTCGGACGAGTAGCTTCGAAATGACAGCAGTCTGAAGTTGATTGCAGTTTTTTCACCTCACTCTGTATATGTTTAAAACCCTTTGGAAAATGTTGAATAAAGACTTCAAAATACCTAAAATATGATATTACATGGGCGGTTGCGCTATTCTAAAATCTATCCAGAAAATAATTGGTACTACTGTATAAGGTTTATATCTACCATAAAATTTTAGATTCGTTCCAACAGTTCGTGTTAGGCCGTTTTCGTACTAAAAATGCACAATTTGTTCAGTGACAAAAATTTTAATCAAAACTTCCCACATCGTACTCATTTATTTTAAGGCTCTCAGGATTTTATATATTTCTCAAGTCTCCTTTTACAACAAAGACTCCATAATTTTTCATTTCGAAGCTTAGCGAGGAGAATATAAGTAAAACCATTGCGCAATGTTCCAATTTTCTGCCCAAAATTATATTAACGTATTCATATGTAAACCCTGGAAACCAACACTGACTTCAATATCAAATTTCAGGATTTCAGCTCTATCTCTTTACTCAATACCAAATTTAGGACATTTTAGTACTTTTAGTACAATATTAATTCATATTTCCAAAACCAGCTCCATATCTCCATTCCAGATATCAATAGAGACCTCAATCTTAAATTTGAGGATTCTCTACCTGTCGCTCACAGTACCATTCTGTACTTTTCGTACAATTATAGTTCACATTTCCGAAACTGGAAGCACCAAATACCAAATTGTACCAAATATAGTCAATACATAGTATGGAGGGTATATTAAGTTCGTCATTCCGTTTGCAACTCAACGAAATAATAACGAAACGAAATAACGAAATAATAATTTTAGACATAGCAAAGTATATACATTCTTGATCAGCGTAAAATTCTAAGACGATTTACCCCTGTACGTCCGTCTCTCTGTCCGTCTGTTGTAATCACGCAAGAGTCAAAACGAATAGAGATATGAAGCTAAAATTTTGCACAAATCAGTCTTTTGTCTGTAGGCAGTTGAAGTTCGCAGGTGGGCTATATCGTAATTTGATGATTGTAACCAAATTTTTGTCTGAAAAACCACAAAAGGATTTCCTTTTGAGTTCTTTAGTAGTATTGTCTATATAGGTCCACGATATCGTATCAGTATTTTAATTATCTTACCTACATTTTTGACTTACCTAGATATTTTGACGATTTTAGCAACATTATTCACCGAAGAAGTTTTAATTTACGTATTTAGAAATCGTAATTCGGTCGAAATCTAAGTCAGAAAATTGTCTATGCAGGTTCAGGTCTTCGTATCAGTACTTCCCTATATTCGGTATTTTAACCATTTTAGGAACAATATTCACCGAAATTGTGTGTTTGAAGTTACTAATAGTTACTACAGCCTGTGACAAAAACTTGTCTATTCAGCCTATAACGATACCTTCCTACATCCGCTATTTCGATGATTTTAGCTACATTTTTCACCGGATATTTTTCAAGTTTCGTATTTGAATATTGTAATGGCTTATTACAAAAGTTGCCTATGCAGGTCCCCCTCTTCGTATAGGGCTACACAAAGACCTAAACCGACCTTGTTCAATCACGAACTTAACTGCCTACTGGCAAAATACACATGTGTGCAACATTTAAGCCTTCTACTTCAATTAGTTCGAACGATAGCTTGTTTACGACAGACAGACGGACATAAAATTTTATGCTGATACTTTGTAGGGTCTTTCATGAATATTTCGAGGAGTTACAAACTGAATGACAAAATCAATATAGAATGGTGGAGGGTATTAAAATTGGATTTGAGTTGGGACAGCCTTTAGAACTTTCCATATTCGGCATTTCGAAAGTATCAGCACCAATTCACAATTGAAGAAATTTAATGAAGATTTAGCACAAATTTTAGATGTTTTAAATGTCTCTTCATACCATGCAGCTAATGTGGCAAGAGTTTATGTTTTGGCATTTTTTAGACTTTACAGATGTCCCTATATAATGAAGGTCCTCAAGTTTGAAGGCCTCGTTTTTAAATACAATATAGTATTTTGGATTCATAATCGTTAAAATCCTATCTGAGAAATATATTTACAATTTTTTTACAACTGCTGGTATTTAACTCAATCCAAAACACTCAAATTTGAAAACAACCGATTAACCCCATTTTTAATTTTCCCTATTTCCCTATTTTCCTATTTCCAAAAGAATTGTCGTTAACTTCAAAATATGTTGTCGTAATGAATTGAAATAGGACAATATGATTAATTAGCCATTTTAGTTTAATCTTTTATAAACCTTGAATAAGTATATACAGGCCCACATAAATGCATATTGGTTTCGTAAAATCGACATAACCACTGATATGTCCTTTCGTTTTAGGTTAATTAGGGCTTCCGATACACCTTCTTACCGAACTAGTTGTAAGTTGACTTTCTAAACTTTTAATATGTAAAATTTTTCTCAATAAGTATTTGTCACCAATCACCCATCCATCAGCAATTACCAATTTTAAAATTAATTTATGCTTGGTTTTGGTGGCAAAAATGCGGGGATCAACGTGTTTATTTTAATTGCTTTGGCTGTTACTATTTTCTGGAACACCAACGGTAATTAAAGTATTTTTAAATATACAATAACGCTTTTTTTGTGATTTTATCCAATTATGGCCAGGTGCAGCTGCAACAGTACAGTCAACTGTCATAGTAGGCAAATTCAAATTCCATGCAAATATTTACTCAGCAAGCAAGTAAATTTATAAAAAATCTTCGCAACAAAAATAAGTTAAGAAAGTATAGTTCGATTGGGTCGATCTGAGAAATACGGCCAACGAAAAGAATCGCAAATTTGTTTCGAAAGTTATGATAGATAAAATTGTGTACCAGAAGAAATGATCCGATCCCTACCATCTTTATAACACATATTATGCTGATTAAAATATTGAGCGGTCTTAAGTCTGAATGTAATCGGATGTTAATATCACGTTTTATGAGCTTCATATATATTCAATATTTTTACCCTTTGTGGAGGACTCAACGGAAGGAGTGGACCGATATATTCAATTTTTACACCAGACCTTGGGTTAATAAAAATATTGTGGTGTGTGTAATTTGAAGACAATCGAACTCTTACATCACATTTTATATGAGTTATAATTATTCAAAATGGAGGTACTTGATGGAGTGGAACGATATCGATCTAAGGTTGGTAATAATATTACGATTTACCAAGTTTGGACCGAATCGGATATTCCCCTCGGGAGTTATCGTACGCACCAACCCGCAGACAGATGGACGGACGGAGATCGCTAGGTCGACTCCAAATGCCCTGAGAGCTAGGATCGTGCTAAGGGCTGGGAGATAGTTAAGAAGCTGGAAGCTTGTTAAGAAGCTGGAAGCTTGTTAGAAGATGGGAGCTTGTTAAGAAGCTGAAAGCTTGTTATGATGCTGGGAGCTTGTTAGAAGATGAGAGCGTGCTAAGCGCTGGGAGCTTTCTAAGAGCTGGATTGAATCGTGGCTAAATTGTAACGAGACACGTCTGCTCGTACTCTGTCGGCTATTAATCGACCACCACGGAGGATAAAGACAAAATAGATATTTTGGGAATTATTATTAGATGGGGTAGCCGTTGACTGAAATGAAGCTAACATTGTCACAGGTATGGGGTTTTATTAAAATGTGACGTAAGGGTTGTATGAAAAGGCCTTGTTACAGATTTTGGCAGAAAATGTTATCATTGTCAAAAATGTAGTAGAAAATTCCGTAACTATCCGAAATCCGAAAACTACTACTTAATTGAAAGCCGTTACATGGAGGATACACGAAGACGAAGACCTGCATAGGATTTTTTTTTCCATAGGTTGTAGTACTCATTAAGATCTTCCAATACGAAAATATACCGATATACCGATTATCGGGAGGTACCGTTATATGGGGGCTATACTAAGACATGAACCTGCATACAAAATTTTTTGTCATAGGCTGTAAGGGGTACGAACTTGAAATACGAAATTTGAAATAATTCCGGTAAGTAATACCTACCTGATCCAGAATATATATACTTTTTAGGGTCTATTGTGAATATTTCGGGAGTTACAAACGGAATGAAAAAGCTAATATACCCTCCATAGAATGGTGGAAGCTTTAAGAACACTAGAACCAAAATAACAACATATCTAACCTACATGCTAAATTAGAAAGATCGGTATATTTAAGAACATATTATAGATCTTAGTATGTATTAAAGATATTATAGATCTTAGCCTATTGCAATACCCTGTTTAGTACAAATTTTTGAAACACTGACATATTTGATGTCTGATGTCGTACCAAAACTTACCCAAAGGCAAAATTTGAAGTTTACGTAGAAAATGATTCCCACTTCATTGCCTATGTCCGACTGAATAAAACACATTTTGATTCCTTTTGTCTTATAATTAGAAATATTTATTAAGTTTTTGTTCTTATTGTTGTTGCTGTAAAATAATACATTGTACACTTATTTCGAATAAATACTTTGTGATGCTTTACTGTAGTGCGAATAATAATTTAAACTTAAAAATTATTAAAAAAAATATATAATTATATAAGAAACTTTACTTGTGCATGCCACAATACACACATAAATATAAATATTTTTAATGAGATTGCCATAAATACAATTTGATAAAAAAAATGGGTTAAGGTGTGTAAGGCCGAAGGAAAAAAATAAAAAAAAAAACATAAATTTAATAAAAAACTAAAGCTTTTAGGTAGAATTGCAAGTTTTTAAAGAAAAATAATAAACGAAAATGTAAAAAAAATCACAGAAATGATAAAAGTTAAAATAAAACTATGGCAATAACAGGCATCTAAACAAAATAACCTTAGGCCTTGGGTTACACCAAATATTGATACAAAATATATTTCTAAAATAAAAATTAATTTTCTTTTTATCATTTAAAGCAATTAAACCAAAAATTTAATCTTAAAAACCTAAAAAAAGTAGTATTTAATGATAAGAGGATTTAATCCCAACTTAAAAACAAAATTAAACATAACACATTCCCATCTCCGGTTAGGGGAAAAAAAGATTAATACGTCCACGCCATATTTAGAAAAGTATTTCCATAATAAAATCCCAACAACAAATAATTGTGTTTCATATGCTGCTGTTTTCTTTTGCATTTAATTACTACCACATGGAAGATGTCTAGAAAAGATAAAAAAGATAAATAAAAACATAGATTTAATAAAATCTGCAATCAATTTACTCCATTCAACAATGAGATATGCATAAATTTATATTTTGGATAAAAAATTATTAAACACGTAAAATTTTAAATTTTTTTTCTGATATTATCAAAGTAGTAGATTATTAAAAAAATTGTCACGGATTATTAGGACCGAAATTAAAACCTCTAAAATAAATTTGTCACATACAAGCATGACAAAAAATATTCGAAGTAGGTCTGCTTTTTATACCCTCCACCAAAAAAAGTATGGAGGGTATATTAAGTTCGTCATTCCGTTTGTAACTCATCGAAATAATCATTTTAGAACCAACAAAATATATATATTCTTGATCAGCGTAAAATTCTAAGACGATTTAGCCCTGTCCGTCCGTCCGTCCGTCTGTCCGTCTGTTGTAATCACGCTACAGTCTAAACGAATTAAGATAGGAAGCTAAAATTTTGCACAGATCTCTCTTTTGTCTGCAGGCAGATCAAATTCGAAGATGGGCTATATCGGTCCACGATATCGTATAGCCCCCATACAACGGTACACCCGATATTCGGTATTTTGATGATGTTAGCCACATTTTTCAATGGAATTGTCTGAAAATTCAAACAAGTAGTTCCTTGTGGGTACTTTATACCTCGGCAGAGAATTATCTATATAGGTCCACAATATCGTATAGCCCCCATATAACGGTACCCCCACGGTATTCGGTATTTTGATTATTTTAGCCACATTTTTCAACGGAATTGTCTGAAAATCCACACAAGGAGTCCTTGTGGGTACTTTATACCTCGGCAGAAATATCGTATAGCCCTCATATAACGGTACCCCCGATATTCGGTATTTTGATGTTTTTAGCCATATTTTTCAACGAAATGGTCACAAGGGGTTCTTTCAATAGATAACGGAATTTGAATTTTAAGAAATTTTAGGGATATTGTGATTAACCTATTTATCGAATTTAACGTATTTCTAAGTCGTTTCCTTATTTTTTCAAAGATTATCAAATTCCCTTTTTCCAATTTTCTAAATATTTTTTAAAGGGACTGTCAGATTCCCAAATTTCTGTAATGATTTTCAATTCGCAAGCTGTCGGCGCCATGGATTTTAAAATATTTGTCAAATATTTTATTATATAAAGCCTTACAGAGCCACAGGGCTTTCAATAATTCTTTTGAGGAACTACGAATGTTGTGGATTTTGTATACCCTCAACCATACCACGTTTTTGTATAGCCCCCACACAACGGTACCTTCGATAGTCGGTATTTTTATGATTATTGCCACGGATTTATCCAAAAATTGCTATTTGTAGTTTGTGATTGGTTATAGCTCCGGAGCAGGACATTCAATATCTAGGTCCACGTTTTCCTATAGCGCACATATAACGGTACCTTCGGATATTAGGTATTTTGATGGTTTTAGTTACATTTTCTCTTAAATTTGTCAAAAATTTGTATTTGTAGTTCGTTATGGGTTATAGCTCCGGTGGCGGAACATTGTATATATAGGTCCACGTTGGTATGGAGGGAATATTAAATTTGTCATTCCGTTTATAACACCTCGAAATATACATTTAAGACCCCGCAAAATATATATATTCTTGTTCAGCATAAAATTCTATGTCGATTTAACGTTGTCTGTCCGTCTATCCGTCTGTCCTTCTGTCCGATTGTCCGTCTGTGGAAGTCACTCTAGCTTTCGAAGCAATTGAAATAGATCGATAAAATTTTGCACAAATGTATATTATATCTGCAGGACTTTTGGTATTGAAAGTGGGACATGTAGGTCCACGTTTTGGTATAGCCCCAATGTAATGGCACCTCCCGATATTCGGTATTTTGATTATTTTAGCCATATCATTCACCGGAATTGTTCCAAATTTGGTATTAGAAGTTCGTAATGGATACTGCAGCCTATGACCTCCCGATATTCGGTATTTTGATAATTTTAGCGACATTATTCGCCGATTTTTTCAAGTTTCGCATTTGAATATTCTAATGGCATATCACAAATGTTGTCCTAATGTCCTAATATTACGGCTACATGCGGCATTTTTAAGATTTTAACAGAATTTTTAACGGATTTTATTTATTTATTTATTTTTTTTTTTTTTTTTTTTTTTTTTTTTTTTTTTTTTTGAGAATTGCCAAATTCGTTCCAATTGCTGGAGGGTATTCAAAATTCGGCAAAACTTATAGCTTTCTTACTTGTTTCTTTTTAGAAAGCTCTTACTGCATTCTCCTACCGATTTTACTGGAGTTCGTTATTTAAAGTGGAACACGTTTAAATCCAGATACTTTTGTATAAAATTTTTTTTCTTTACCTTATTTAAAGTTCGCCCCGGCCGAACTTAATGTATTTTTATTTGTTAAATATTTTTTCTGGGATCACGGCTCAAAATATAAATAGCACCAAACTTGTAACTTTTTTGACTTTTGTTTGTTTTCTTTTCTTTCGATTTTTTCTCTGAACTTACCACAATTATTGCATAGGCTGTGCCAATTAATGCTCCGGCCAGAACATCAGTCCAATGATGTTTGTAATCGGAAACACGTGTCAGTGATGTATACCAGGCGAACATTAAAAATATGAATTGAAGTAAATGTTTGAACATTTTACTGCGTGAACAGGTCAGGCGTTTGTGCAAATAAATCTGGAAAGAAAAAAAAATAGAAATGAAATGAATAGAAATGAAAATAAAAAGGCGATTAGAAAAAATCAAGTCATTGTTATACAAGAAAATTTTTTCTTCGAAATTGAAAAAAAATAAAAATAAAAAGGTGATTTCGAAACAACCAAGTCATTGTTATCCAAGAAAAATTTTTCTCCGAAATTGCAATTTTTAATGGCAGCATTAAGGCTCCTAGACGAAGCCACTAAAGGTATTCTAGACGAACAGTTTAACGGACTTCTATAAACAGCCATTAAAGGTCTTCTTTAAGAAAGTCCTTAAATGACTTCTATAAGATAGTCCTTAAAGGACTTCTACAAGGAAGTCCTTAAAGGACTTCTATAAGGAAGCCTTTAAAGGCCTTCTATAAGAAAGCCCTTAAATCTAAGCCCTTAAATCTTTTAAATTATTTTCTATAGCCAGATTTATACGCAAATAAACTTTTTTTGCAAACTTACCGCTGTATAGATCATCGTAAATGAAGTAAAACTGGCATGGCCACTGGGAAATGACAAATGCGATTCCTTGATAATTTTGGCGGGATAATCCAAACCACGGCAGGTGAAGTCCTCAATATAGCGGCCTTGGTTCATGGGATTCTCACAGGTGGTACCATCGGGTAAAATTGGTTGACAGACCTGGAAAAAAAAAAAACAAAAAAATTAAAATTCAATCCATAATATTTTTCGTCTTTTAAAATATACAATATACAAAAAAATCCTGAAACTTACCGCAAAGAAATGTGGTCTCAGCCTACCAATCGAATATTTGGCAATATCTGTGGTCAGCTCGCACACGCCCGAACCGAAAATCAATAGGCCAACTCGCTTGTAACACTCAATTGCCCAATCCGGCACTTCCAAATGGCAAAAATAATAATTGCTCGACGATAGATTACCAAAGCTGCGCATTTTGTGAGAATTTGCTTTGAAAAATTCCAACATTGTTATCTGGAAAAGGAAAAAAGAAATAGACAATCATTCAAACGAACTAAAACAAATTGATTTATTTTAACAATTCAATTTGTTAGGATTTTTTTCTGCCAAATAATTTATTTGTTTAGTGAAATACAGTACACCAAAGTGATTTGTTGCGGATCTCAGCGGGATATTGGAATGACTTCGACTAGATCTTGGTTGATTTTCCCAAATACCAACAAACACTTGTAACCGAGAGAACTGAGCAACAACTAACTTGTGTGGCGAGGTGAATGGAGTTCCTATGAATGATGATGTTGTTGAGTATAGCTGCTTTGGTTAGACCAAAGTCAATAGACGCTTAAGATAAATCCTTAAGGTGGCGATAAGATATTGTTGCAGTTTGAAACGAATTACAGTTCAGTTTGTCATTGCGCAAATATTTTAAATTTCATGGGAAATTTACAAAGATTGATATTAAAATTGTTTGACCTAATGAATGGAAATTAGTGGGTTAAAGGTTGACTTCTTGGGAAACGAAAACGTTTTATGAAATATAATAAAATGCAGGAAAAATTTGGCAGATTATGCAGGCAGATCTAAAAAGAAAATACACATGAATCGTAATCTTGAAAGCTTACTTCACAAAGTATCCTATACGAAGGGGTCAAATTCCCCCCTTCAAAAATTTTATAAATTTTCAAATAAAGATTCCTTGAAATTTCTACATTTTAGTATGTAATGTCCTCTACAGCATTCCCTCTTATCAACGGGATCGTAACACTACAAAATATTCCACAAAATTATTTATACTTATAAAAGAGCTGTCAAATAAGTGACTGGCCTAGAATCAATGCCCAGACAAAACCGCTGAAGCTAGAAATCTGAAGTGTTGATGCATTTGAGTTTAATAACACAGAGTTTTCTGAAATTCTAACCTAAAAGGGTACTTGAGCCAGAAATTTGGAAGTCACAGATAGATTACAGGATACATGTACCAAACGGTTTTTGAAAATTGTAACGTTAAGGTTACAAAAGGTACTAACTTTTAAAATGTCGCCATTTGCTATTATGTTGACGAATAGAGCTAAAATAGTACTATATTTGGTACAATTTGAAATTGGGTCAAAAGATCTAAAATTTGCCATTAGGGTCGCTGTTCACGTGTAACCTTTATATGTGGAGGCGGTTTCAAAAATGTGTACCTAAATTGTACGATAAGTACTATATGGTACTATACAGGGTGAGATGAAAAAACTGTCACCAACTTCAGACTGCTGTTATATCTAAGCCACTCGTCCGACAGCTTTTAAAATTATTCCCGTGACACCTCATTATATTATTCACAAGCATACAACAGCATTTTGGTGAGAATTTTATATAAAAAAAAAATTATTCGTGATGGAATTTAAGCGTGATAGTGTGATTTCTTTATATTTGGCTGAAAACCACAAGTGGCTATCGTTAGAGCATTCCAGCATTTGAATGTGAATAAATCTTCTGTGTCTCGTACCATCGCTCGTTACCGTGATACTGGTAGCGTAGTCCGGCGTTAAGGGAGTGGACGGAAGAGAACAGCCACATCAGCAGAAATGGTTCTAAAAGTAAAGAAGCGACTTGATGGAAACCCGCGTCGCAATGGCCGAAAAATGGCTCGTGATCTGAACATATCGCAATATTCCATTCGGCAAATATTGAAAAATGAGCTCGGGGTAAAACCATTGCAATTCCAAAAAGTGCAAGAACTTGCACCGTAGCAGAAAGAAAATAGATTTAAAAGAGCTAAAGAGTTGCTGCGCTTGGGCGAAAGTGGCGAACTGCCGAATTTTTATTTCCGATGAGAAAACATTCGTTGTCCAGCAGTTTGTAAACAAACAAAATGATCGTGTTATGGGCCGCCATAACAGCCGATGGTCGCTCTCCGCTCGTATTAATCGACCGTGGCATCAGAATAAATGCCGAAAATTATCGCGAAAATATTCTGGAGGGTGTACTAAAGCCTTGGGCATGCAAACATTTTGGCCTCTTTGAGATATCTGTTGGTATCTGGTGGTGATTTTGCAAATGTAGGCTATAACTGTTCGAAAAGTACTAAATGGTACTAATTTTGGATCACTGTTGGTGTCCAGGATGGAGAGATGTAGATTGTGTTGGATATGCGTATTAAATTTTGTATTGGTTAAAGGGATACAGGAATTTGATATTTATATATCTGTTGGCAGTGGACATTCCAACAGGACTCAGCACCATCGCACTCAGCACGCGCCACCCAAGAATCGTTACAAAATGAGTTTCCTCGCTTCAATTCCAGCGCACAATGGGCACCAAAATTTCCGGATACCAATCCGTTGGACTATTGTGTCTCGAGTATTTTGGAAAGTAAGGTTGGCACTAAAAATACCAAAGTATCGATCACCACGCAAGCAAGCACTTCGGCGGGAATGGGCCAAAATACCGCAGAGCAACATTCGGGCGCGTGTGACGGTTTTATTGAGGAGGCCATTGTTTGAAGGCCATAAGTCGTGCCGAAGGTAACCAATTCCAACAAATCTAAACTTATTCTAAAATTTGATGCAATTTTCGACTTTTTTGACCTTCATTCAATAAAACTGAAATTTGATATAGATGTCACTGTTGATATCTGTGGTTAAGATATGGATGTGGTTTTGTAAATACGTACTATAGTTGTTTAAAAAATATAATAATGCCATAACTGTTGGTGTCTAGAGTTAAAATATGTAAAATATTAAAATATGTAAGTAATGAATACAAAAATTATACGAAAAGTACTTAATTGTGTGAATATATAGAGCTGGAATGCCTAACGTTGATATCATCTAGGGCTTCTGGTTGAAAGAAATATTTAGATATGGCAAGTAGTAAAGAACCAATTGTGTCCCTTTTTGGGTGAGGTACCAGAAGGGGTTCGCAGATATATATAATCTTCGCCACAGATCATGTGGTAACAAAAATGTTTGTATGTGTGAAGTTTGAAGAGAGTTGGATGCCTATTTCGCTTTCTTTGAGCGTTTTGTTTTTCAAAATCTTGAACCCTATGTGGGAAAGGCATAAGAAGAAATGACTCGATCTCTACCATCTTTATAAAAGATCTTGTGTTGATGGAAATATTAAGATGTACCAAGTATGAAAGGAATCGAGTGTTAATTTCGCCTTATATGAGCTGTATGGATATACAAAATGTTGAACTTTTGGGGGTGAGGTGCCAGAAGGAGTGAACCGATATGTCCCATCTTCAAAGAAGAACTTGTATTAGTTGAAATAATGAAATGTGTGAAATATGAAGCGAACCGGACGCTCATTTCGAATATTATAATCACTTTGGTTATTCAAAACTTTCACCCTTTTTGGGGAGGTACCAAAAGAAATGGTCGGATCTCTACCATCTTTATAACATATCTTGTGTTGCTGGAAATATTGAGATGTGCCAATTCTTAATGGAATCGGATGTTAATTTCGTGTTCTATGAGCTTCATGGTTATTCAAAATTTTTGACTTTTTCTGGGGCAGGTTCCAGAAGAAGTGGACCGATTTATTCCACCAGACCAGAGATTAATAAAATACATTACATTTTATAAGAGTTATAATTACTCATATTTTGACCCTTTGTGGGGGAGGTAATTGATGGAGTGGACCGATATTGTCCATTTTCGCACCTTACCTAGTACCAATGTAAATATTAGGATTTGCAAAGGTGCAACAAAATCGGATTATCCTTTATCTTTCTGTGCAGTAAAATATTTTCTTTGAAAATGTTGACCTGTTGTGGGGGAGGTACCAGAAGGAGTGGGTCGATATTCCTCATCTCCGAACTCGATCTATGTTTGATAATAATATACCGATGTACCAAGTTTGGAACCAAACGGAAACTCCCTTCGTTCGCACCAACCAGACAGACAGCCCGAGGGACGGACATCGCCAGATCAACTTCGAATATCCTGAAACGGATTTGGTCCAAAGATACCAAAGGTGTAAAACCGTTATTTCGATAAGACACGTTTTGTACGTATCAAATGATATATACCCTCTCTAGCCATATGGCTGAGGGTATAATAACCCACATTTGATGTTTTCTGTTTTTATACCCTACACCACAAGGTGGTTAGGGTATTATGTCTTTGTGCATTTGTTTGTAACAGGCAAAAGGGAACGAGATAGAACCATAGTTCCTTTTGATGATCTGCATAGAATCACATTCTGAGTCGATTTATGCATGTCCGTCCGTCCGTCGTCGGTCCATGTATTTTTGTAAACAAAGTACAGTTCGCATTTATTGCCCTATCCAGATGAAATTTTGCACATATCATTTGTTTGGCCCAAGGACGAACCCTATTGAAATTGGAGATAATCGGTCAAAATTTAGATATAGCGCCCATATATATCTTCGTCCGATTTTCCCTTTTTTATGCACCAAACGTCTAATATTTGCCCAAATAGTATTAAATTTTGCACATACAACCAAATTGGGCCTAAAAATAAGTATGCCAAATTTGATCGAAATCGGTTCAGATATAGCAAGAGCTCCCATATATATTGTTCATCCGATTTGTTATTTTTGTCCACCGCAGCCGTAATATGCATTATGTAACAACAATACTTGGGGAAATATATCAAATACAGATCAAAAATACATTTGCTAAATTTTATCGAGATCGGTTCAGATTTGGATATGGCTCACATATATAACTTCGTCCGATTTACCCTTTTTTGTGCACCAATCGTCTAATATTTGTCCAAATGGAATGGAATTTGGCACTTACGACCGAATTGAGTCTAGAAGCTAGTATGTCAAATTTGGTGAAGATCGGTTCAGATATAGCTATAGCTCCCATATATAATGCTCATCCGATTTGTTACATTTGTTACCCACAGCCGTAATATGCACGCCGTAACAACGATTTTCAGGGAAACATATCAAATACCACTCAGAAATGTGTTTACCAAATTTTATCGAGATCGGTTCCGATTCGGATATAGCTCCCATATATATCTTTATCCGATTTCAAATTAATTGT